TAACTCTAGTAGACTCAGACATACTTAGACTTTATCGGAATGCCACATGTTATTTGCTCATGGGAAGGATTCAAGCTTAGTGTAGTCGTGGTTGCATAGCGTTTGCATACAGATGAGCTGCTGGCGCCAAACCCATCAAACCCTACGAGACCTGCCTACGGGACCTGCCTGCAGCAAGCATGCGCTCCGGCACGACACATTCCCCGAGAAGCTTGATCCCCCAAACTCCAAACCCTAAACCCTCAACCCCAAACCCTAAGCCCCAAAACGCTCAGCCCCATACCTTAAACCCCAAAACCCTAAGCCCCAAACCCTAAACCCCAAACCAAACCCCAAAACCCACCCCTTGGAGAAGCATGGGCTACAGTTAAGTCATAAAAACACAGAAACATGTAATTCTTATTCAAAATATATAAATACATATATACATATATATATATATATATTTATATTTATGTATTTATTTATTCTTCATCATATATATATATATATGTAATTCATATCGAAGGGCCGCCTGGGCAGGAGCTCCGACTTCTCGTCGGGGTGAAGGCCTCCAAAGGCACCTTGTCTCTGTGCATGAACGGGGCGGGGTACGTGTTTTGAGGGTGGGGACGGCTTCTGTGCATTAGTGGGCAAGTAATGGGCTTCAATTTTTTTGAGGAGGGTGTCGAAGGCTTCTAGGTTTTTCCCCACATCTTTGTGTGGGGTTCTTACTTTTGTGGCTGTCCCGTCTCCTCCGCCTCCTCCTCCTCCTGCTCCTCCTCCTCCTCCTGTTTCATACACACCATGACTCACTATGATACACACCATAACTCACTATGACTATGACTCACTCTGACTCACCAACGCACCACACACCGCACCAACACACCACACACCGCACCAACGCACCACGCACCATCTTGCCATGCTATGCACCAACGCGCCACACACCGATGTCTCACTATGACGCCACACACCGATGACTCACTATGACTCATCAACGCACCACACACTGTCTTACGCTCCACACACCATGACTCATTGTGACCCACACACCATCTTACCACGCTATGCACTAACCGCGCCACCAACGCACCACACACCATCAACGCACCACACACCGTGACTCACCATGACTCAGCAACGCACCACATACCATCTTGTCACGCTATGCAGCAACACTAGGGGCCCTGGACCTCTGAAACGTTGGCAGGCCCGACATTTAGGGGGCCCTAGGGCCCTGGACCGGTGCCGCGCGCGCCTCGGGAAACGTTGGCGGGCGCGACACCTATGGGCCCTGGACCTGTGAAACGTTGGCAGGCACCCCAAACCCTAAACCCTAAACCCTCAACCCCAACCTTCAACCCTCAACCCTAAACCCTGAACCGTAAACCCTAAACCCTCAACCCTAAACCCCTAACCGCTAAACCCTAAACCCTAAACCTAAACCCACACGCACTCACTCACACTCAAGCACTCACTCGCTCACTCGCTCACTCTCTTACTCACTCGCTCATATTCACTTACGCACTCTTTGCGAATAGATAACTTTGCATGTGGGGTTATCCGGTCCTTTAATTTGTTGTTGAGGGTTTTGGGCTTCTACTTCCCGGTCAGAAGTGCACAGGGCTTCTTACTTCAATCTGATGGCATTCGGAACGTCCTTCTTCTGATCGAAGGAAGCAGTGGCTTTTTTGTTCCTATAGGAACAGATGAAAGAGTGGGGACTCTGATCCTTCTTATCGCTCTGTTCAGGCCTTTGTTCGTGTTGCATGGACCAGGAGCTTATGTGGAACAGGCTAGCCATGTAAAGGTACCGAACCGTTTGCACAGATCAAAGTTGTGAGTTCATTTTGGGGAGGTTTTGTTTTTACATTCCTTCTCAAAGGCAGGCGGCCGGGCGGCTTTCTCGTGGGTGTGTAGACTATAAGACAAGACATCTCTCTGTTTTGAAGACGAGTTGGGGTTCTCTGATGTCTGCAGCACACTCGTTTGAACTAGAAGTTGGGCACTTCCTCTATTCAATGTTCAGAGAAGAGAGAGGCAACGCTAACACTGACTCTGGTCAGGCGGCGGTAAGGGCAAAGCCGGCAAATCCCACAAGGCCGTGGAAGTTAGAGTTGCTATCGGCTTTCAGGTTTAGGTGTCATAGGATCCCAATGGAGATCCCGCAAAAGGAACTTTGTGTGCATGTGTGTGTGTGTGCGCGCGCGTGTGTGTGTGCGTGTGTGTGTGTGTGTGTGTGTGTGTGTGTGTGTGTGTGTGTGTGTGTGTGTGTGTGTGTGTGTGTGTGTGTGTGTGAATGTGTGTGTGTGTGTGTGTGTGTGAATGTGTGTGTGTGTGTGTGAATGTGTGAATGTGTGTGTGTGTGCGTGTGCGTGTGCGTGGGTGTGTGTGTGTGTGTGTGTGTGGTTTGCGAGTGGGTGTGCACGTGTGCACGTGTGCACGTATGTGCGGCTGTCGCTGGGCGACCGATGGCAGGGGGGCGGCAAGAACGGCGGAAAGTCCGGGAAGGGCAGCTCCAAGGCGCCGCAGAGTTTCCAGATGTGCTTGATGCCGCCTTCCATTTTTTTGGTGTGCCAAGATAGCTATAGAGATAGACAGGCATATATGTATATTTCTCTCTATAGGTGGTTGTAGATGGTATCCGCATAGCCTCTATCCGATTATCCATCTATCGAAATGTATAATGTGCTTGTGTGTGTATAGGTATATGTATATGTGACTGTACATGCGTATAATGTGTATATATACGCATACATATGCATGTATATATGCATATGTGTGTATATAGAATTACCTTGCATGTATACCATGTCTACGTTCTACACATGTATACACATATTCACTGTGTTTGCCATATTCGCGAGCACGTGAAAAGATTTCGTTCTACATCCACGGTCTGTACCTACGATCTTTTGCTCGTTTTGCTGTTATGTTCTCTATCCCCCCACATTCACCATCTCTCATGCTGTTTACCATGCTTACGACTTTTACTCGCTGTGCTATCGATGCTGCAAGCTTCATGCCAGGGCAATGGCAAAAGCAGCCATGGCCGCTCTGCGGTCCGGGCCTCATGGGATCCCAGATTAGCCGGGTTTAGGGCTGTTGGGGTTTAGGAATCTTCCTTCCACTTTCAGCAGCTTTCAGGATTTACCCGGGTTTAGGGTTTAGGAATCTTCCTTCAACTTTCATGATGCGTCCTATCAGGGTTTAAGGAGTGTACTCCTCAAATTCTGTTGCGCGATGCTACTCATAACATAGGGGATGCACTCTTTGATGCGGGGGTACGGGATTCTCAGCTGGTTGGCTGGTTGAGATAGTACCTGGCAGAGCCTTCTCCAAATTTGGAACACCCCCAGAGCTTAATCCTGTAGGATTTCGGGCTCAGGGTAGTTTCGGGTTTGGATCTCTGTTGTAGATAGAAAAATATGAAGCTGGACTGGCGCGATGGTGGCTTTAGCTCTTTCAGCTCTGGAGATCTCTAATGTTGCTGGCTGCGATCCCTTTCGCCGAATGCTCCGAACGACTGTCAAGCCATTTCATGCCATTTCGCTCAGGTTCAATATTCAGGGTGCCAAATCTTGAGGACCCTAAACCCGAAACCTAAACCCTAAACCCTAAATCCGAATGCAAACAAAACATCGACGCGCCCAGGGCCCGCCTCCTGGTCCCCTGGCCGGCGTCGCGCCCATGTTGGGGCCCTGAGCGTTAGCGCTTTGGGAGTTTAGGGTTTGTCGGGTTTACAGGGCTTTTAGGGCTTGTAGGGCCTTTTATATAGGCTTTATAGGGTTTATAGGGCTTATAGGGCTTTTAGGGCTTGTAGGGCTTGATAGGGCTTAAGGCTTTATAGGGCTTTATTTTGGGTTTATAGGGCTTATAGGGCTTATAGGGCTTTATAGGGCTTAAAGGGTTTATAGGGCTTAGAGGGCTTCATAGGGCTTATTGGGCTTATAAGCTTAATTATAGGGCTTAGCCGAGGTAGGGCTTGGGATTTGGGGCCTTGAGTTCACGGCTTAGGCTGCTGGGATGTGCAAGTGGGGCTTAGGGTTTAGGGTTTAGGGTTTAGGGTCCAGGGTCCAGGGTTTAGGGTTTAGGGTTTAGGGGCATCGAGCATCTTGAGTCGTATCGAAGCAGCCAAAGGCAGTGGGTAGTCGGAGGAAAGGGGGGGGGAGTTCACTCTCTTCCGGAACCTGCCTGGGCGGCGAAGGAACCCTTTAACCATACACCCCAAGCCTTGTAAACCCTATAGACCCTAAGCGGTATAAGATCTTAGGTTGTCCCCTTGGGTTTGAATCCCCTCAAGTGAACATAGGGGCCATATGGGGAGCATACTCAGGGAACCCTCGACCCGAAACCCTAAACCCTAAACCCTAAACCCTAAACCCTAAACCCTAAACCCTAAACCCTAAACCCTAAACCCTAAACCCTTTGCGGGTACCTTAGGCCTGCGAGTGCCAAGCCCCTAAAGATTGCTGCCGAGGCATGGAGGTCTCATGGGTGGCTACGGCGGCAGTAGGGAGCTCACAGAATTCTCGGAATGGAGTGCCATTAGGGTCTTGGGTTTAGGGTTTAGGGTTTAGGGTTTGGGGCTTCGGGTCAAGAGAATTTTAGAAGTGGAGGTGTATGCAGTATGCATGCATGTGTGTACATACGTACACGAACGTGTATTTATCATCATCTGCGAAAATGTACACACACCACGCACGCAGCTACATATTGTCATGCATATATGTATGTATGTAGATGCATAGATAGATGAATTGTAGGTCGCGCAGCTTATACTATCAGTATTGCATGATTCGTTGACCTTACTGCGCTCAGTGCTCCCATAGAGCCATGAGCATCGCGCGGCAGTCTTATGTTCAAGCAAATGGATTTCATTGAGCGGTTGTTCCTCCAAGTGCTCCTATCATGCTTCAACACACATGTCAGACCGCCCAGCATAATTGAACACTCCACTTACAGCACTAGGCCACCAGCACAGCTGGCATATCTGTGGCGATTGACGAGCTGCAATCTTCAGGTGAACGCCATGGCAGTCGAAGTATTGGCCCTTGATACACCTGGTTTCTCAGACTTGTCCTCGCTGGATGGTGAGGTGGACGAGAAGATGGTCACCCAGTACTTGCAGTTCACCAGGCAGTCTGGTGAGAAGGCACAACTTCGTCTCGCCCACGTTGATCTTGGAAGTGGCACAGACTGCGAGCAGCGAATGTTCGATCTAAGAGCTGAGCGGGAGCTCCGAAACACAGAGAGGGCTGTGCACGTCGGAAAGAAGCTGAGCTACAGTTTACGGAACTTAAACCCAGGTTCCATGGTGACAAATATATCCCTACCAGGGTAGCTTACTTTAAGTCACTTGAAGTATCCTTAAACCCTATCAATCCTATCAATCCGACCAACCCTATAAACCCTACAGACCCTTCAAACCCGAAACCCGGTAAACTCAGGAAAAGCGACTCCGCCAAGCAGAAGGACTTCGCCGTCTCGGCGCAGATGAGGCGCGACGCCACCGCGGGCATCGAGGCCGCGGACCAACGGCTTGCGGAGATCGACGCCGAAGTGAAGGAGCCGGCGGTTTGGGGTTTTTAGGTCAAATTGTCGGTAGGGTTTGGGGTTTAGGGTCTAGGGTTATAAGGGTTTAGAGTTCAGGGTTAGGGATTTGGGTTAAGGGTTTAAGGACCTTCAGAGCCCCCTTAAGGAAATGCCATTCAACCCATATACTTGGTGCCTGAGTACGATTTCAGGCCGGTGGTGGTGGTGGTGGTGGTGGTGGTGGTGGTGGTGGTGGTGGTGGCGGTGGTCGTGGTGGTAGTAGTAGTAGTAGTAGTAGTAGTAGTAGTAGTAGTAGTAGTAGTAGTAGTAGTAGTAGAAACCCCAAGCCTTACACAGGACCCCCTAGAAAAGGGGCATGGGGCTCATTGGCGACCTTCAGAACGAGGATGCAGAGTATCTTTTGTGACCTTATAAGAAGATTGTACAGAAAGCTAAAAATCAGATACCCCAAACCCTAAACCCTAAACCCTAAACCCTAAACCCGAAACCCTAAACCCTAAATTCTAATAAGTTCACGAACCCCGCAGACGCAGGAGCTGGAGGAGCGTCAGACCGCCTTCCCCTGGTTCTGTCTCTTCTCACAGCTGCAGGCCCAGGATCCTCGGCCCTTTTGGGAACAATGTTTATGTTCTCCCTAAAAATTGGGCTGAAGAAATCTCTAATTTAGGAGTGTCTGTTTTTGAGGTGGCTTTTAATATAGGGGCCATCCTAGGAGCTCAACTGCGTGCGCCACATGGACCTGACCAACTGTGGCCTCCACGCAACAGGCGTCGAGCTCTTGCAGAGCGTCCTGATGGATCTTGAGCATCGGGGCGATGGTGACGCGGTGGAGGAGCTCGTGCTCGACAGCAACGACTTGGGTGACGCCTCCACCGTGGCCCTGGCCTCCCTCATCCGCTTGTCGTCCAAGATCCAGGTCCTCAGGCTCAGGAACATTGGCATCACGGATGGCGGATTCTCCCAAATCATTTCCGCCGTCGTGGGCAACAAGACGTTATGTCTGCTGGACCTTCGGGGGAACGGACTGTGCACCCTTGAAAACAGCAAGGTAGTGGTTCAGGGCCTCAGACGCTTCAACCAGCTTGTACAGATCCTGGTGGAGTAGGCAAATTTTGCCTGCAAGGTGCATGTTGAGAATGCATGGAATCACCATGAACATGGAAAAAAGAGCGACCCCCTCAGCGTGTCGAAGGCAGAGTCGCCGTTCTTGTGACCGTGCCCACTCCGCGCTCCACACGTTACCAAGCTCCCCCCCCCCCCCCCCACACCACGCATCTTCGCTGTTCTGTAATTGGGGCCCTAGACTCTGAGAACCCTGAACCCTGAACCCTATAAATCCTAAACTGACAGGAAATGGGAACTACTATCGATAGCAGCCGGCCCCCCAGCGGGCTGAGATGAGGATCTTGCCAGGGAGCAGTCGGACTCTGGGGTTCAGGGTTTAGGGTTTAGGGTTTAGGGTTTAGGGTTTAGGGTTTAGGGTTTAGGGTTTAGGGTTTAGGGTTTAGGGTTTAGACAGTCAAGGCGTGGCAGTCGGATGATCCCTTCGTGTTTCTCAGGTCCCTGGGTGACGTGCACGGGTGTTGAGAGCCGCAAGGCGGGTTCATGAAGCAAGCGCATGAAGGCATGCTGCTATATCCCCCGTTTTTTTTTTAGTTTTTGTTTGTATAAAACCCAAGAGATAAAAAAAAAAAAAAATCATTAAGGTTCTAGGGGGAGTGTAGGCTGGGGTACAGCCTGGTACAGTTGCACGTCCTTGAGAGTGCCCGAAGCAGTGACCAAAACAATATCTTTCTTTGGCAGTTTTGGCTTGTGATCCCAGCTGCGCGGCACTGCGCAACGCCACTGCGCATCCTGCTTGGAGCGAGTTGGTACTGGCAGAAAGTGTGAGAGACGTTGTTTGTCCCATCCAAGCACGATGCATGTAGGACCCCGTCTGTACATCATCATCTCGGGCCTGAGATTTAAATCATCTCAACCTCTTTGGCGCCCAAGCGTCTCAGCGACATGTTCCTTGAAGCTGCCAAAGAGCAAGATTCTTTGTACGTCAGCCATCAGCTGCTGATCGGCAAGATTCGGCCGAAGAGCTTTCTGCAGCAGAACGAAACCTTCCCCTAATTCCTGAATTGACATTCCTTTCCGGACCCCCCTTTCCCCCCCTTCCCCACCAAAAAAAGCAAACAATACAATAAAAGATGATGAACAACAAAATAACAAAATCGGTGCCCGAATTGTTGGAAAACCCCCATTGGTAGGATCCCATGAGCCTTCCTGAACACTCCCAAGTAGACCTTCGTGGTACTTTACTGTAACTTTAGATCCTTACCTTTTTTGGGTTTATTGGGTTTCTTATAAGTCAGCTAACAGTTTATTTTATAGCTACCCTGCTAAGTGCAGCCAAGAGTAGAGCACCATCCAACGCGGAGAGGCGCCTGGAGGACAAATAGGGTTCAGGGCTGAGGGCCTTCCATGACGTGTAGGCGGAGAAGCCCCAGCCCAGAGTTTCCACACATGATGTCGGATCCGACGATCGCTTCGTTTGGGCTCAAAAGGCCTGCCTCTGTGCTGCACGCACAACGCAGGCGATCCCGGTGCTGTCGGAAGATGAAGGGCCTTGTAGTAAGCATGTGCTAGCAGGCTGCTGCGATCTGTTGCCGAGCTTCTGGAATGTAGAGGTGCTTGGCGAATCTTCGCGTCCTGCTGCCAGTCTTGGCATGCAATTCGCATGCCGAATCTTCCTAGCATGCATCTAATCCTGTGCATTGGTCATGCGCAGCAGAATTATGGGGGGGGGGGAGGGTTAAAGCGACGCACGTGTTCCAACCCTATAACTCCTATAGAACCGAAAAATCCTATTTTTGGCGCCCTCCGGTCTGCCGGGGGTACAAATGCTAGGAACCCTATAAACCTGTGAACGGTTCTTGCCCTCTCAACTAAACCCTAAACCCTAAACCCTAAACCCGAGAAACCCCGAACCCAAAAAACCTTCGGATGCAAGGCTCGGGGACCTAAACCCTAAACCATTAAGATCGGGGCTCGGGGTTTAGGGTTTAGGGTTTCGGGTTTAGGATTTAAAGGTTTAGGGCCTAACATCATTCCCGTATGGCCCCTATATAACTGTTCCACAACAACCCTCCAAAACGGTATTCTAATTATTATGTCCGCTATAGTAGGGTTTGGGGCTTACAGCTTTCGGGTTTAAGGGTTGGAGGCTTGGACTTTATCGGTTACAGGGTTTACAGGGTTCATACGGTTCATAGGGTTTGGAGGGTAAGGAGAATCTAGTATTTGCTTAAGAACCCCCCAACAAATGGCATGTTTAGAGGGTTTTCTAAGCAGCTAGTAGGAGTGGTATACAGGGTTGGCTTGGAAGGCTGCGTGGGCGTTACGCCCGGCAGAATGAAGATCTCAGCGGCCTAAGACAAACTGCTTTACAGGCCGGGCGCCGAGAAAGCATTGTTCAATGGATGTGAGACTCGTACCCAGAATATTGTGCCTGTAAAGTGCTTTTCAACCCAAAACCCTAAACTCTATACTCCTTCATGTGTCTGGGTGGGATAAGACGCAGCTCCGTTGTGAGGGCGTCGTGAAGACTTTTGACCGCAAAGCTCATCGCAAGTCATTCGGCCAGTGACACGCTGGGCTTAGGAGTTGTGAAAAGTAGGGTATATAAGAAATAGGGTTATGAGAACACGGATTCATAATGAATAATGAACAGGGCTTAGAACCATTTGGGTTTAAAACAGGGTTTAGGCTGAACATGCAGTGCTACACTGCCGTTCAAAGCTACGCAGGTATGTTTAGGACTGTTCGGGAATTTGCTCCAATAAATGCGACTGCAATAGAACCGTTGCACCGAAACAAGAGTCAAAACAAAACAGAGTGCGTTTAACTCATATGTGTTGACCAAGTCTCTTATATGCACATGTTCACCGAATTCAAACATATCATGTTTGTCAAATAATCAAATAGTTGGCAAGGGACTTCTCCAACCTTTCTGGAGTCTGGTAAGGGTGGAAAGGGCGAGGTGGGTGCGTGGGGGGTGGGGGGAGGGCACCCACAAAAGTGTAATAAGTTCAGGTGCACGCATCATGTGGTTTTTAGGGATTTGCATAAGCGCACGCCCGTTATGTCATGCACGCATGTGCTGTGTTGGTTGTAGATACTAGCGCGGGTGCTTGTGCATCCAGATCAGCTGCTTCCTCTACTCCCCGCAGTCGAATGTCTGCACAAGCGAAGCTCTTGATATGGCCGATGGAGATGCAACTGAAAATCTTTGTTCATCGTCTTGAGGCAATGTGGCGCTGTTTGCTGGGTGCTGCGCTGGCAAGTGGCTGCCTTGGACAGCACTGAGTGGAGAGAGATTAGCAAGTCCTTCCTTTGCGGGGGCTAGCTGAGCCCTCGCCATCTGGGGGATACTACCCTCCCGCCGCAAAGTAGAGTCGTTTGATGCCTGGCCCCCCAAAACGCAGCAATGCAATTCCAGCCCAATGGTCATAGCTAATGTTCCTTCTTATCATAGACATAGTAAGGATCTTGCATCGAGATGACATGAGAGGGGGGGTACTATAATCACAAGTACCTGCATTCTAGTACTCCAAACCCCAAGCCCGCAAACCCCCCAAACCCCAAACCCCAAAAATGCAAAACACCAAAACCCGAAACCCAATAACCCTGTAACCCTATGTACAAACCCCAAACCCTCAACCCAAAACCCTAAACCCCAAACCCTAAACCCTAAACCCCAACCCTAAACCCTAAACCCTAAACCCTAAACATTACTCAACTCATTCACCCAAGGCCTGGCTGATGTAACTGCCGGGCTGCGCTCTCAGATCAACGGTTCAGTATAGGGTTGGCCGGTTGGAGGTCCAACCAGGCTTAAAGGGTTTAGGGTTTAGGGTTTAGGGTTTAGGGTTTAGGGCGTAAAGTACTTCAGTGTCGGATCTGTGAGACTGCGTTGACTGGTGTCATTTGATTCTTAGATGTCTGATTCGGCGGGCTACATCTTGGTTTGTTGATTCACCAGCCTTTGTTGTGCACCGGTGTGTTGGTAGCAAGCATGCTTGATGCCGATGTGATGAGATATGAGAGGCATTCCGTTTCTCACATTCGCAGTTGGTGTCCAAGCAGGGTGCCGCAGCGCGGGAACCGCATGAAGGACCTCCTTAGATGTCTGATTCGGCGGGCTACATCTTGGTTTGTTGGCTCACCAGCGTCGTTTGAGTCTTCGCGGTGCACCGGTGTGTTGGTAGCAAGCATGCTTGATGCCGATGTGATGAGATATGAGAGGCAATCCGTTTCTCGCATTCGCAGTTGGTGTCCAAGCAGGGTGCCGCAGCGCGGTAACCACATGAAGGACCTCCTTAGATGTCTGATTCGGGGGTCTACATCTTGGCTTGTTGGCTCACCAGCGTCGTTTGAGTCTTCGCGGTGCACCGGTGTGTTGGTAGCAAGCATGCTTGATGCCGATGTGATGAGATATGAGAGGCAATCCGTTTCTCACATTCGCAGTTGGTGTCCAAGCAGGGTGCCGCAGCACGGTAGCCGCATGAAGGACCTCCTTAGATGTCTGATTCGGCGGGCTACATCTTGGTTTATTGGCTCACCAGCGTCGTTTCAGTCTTCGCGGTGCACCGGTGTGTTGGTAGCAAGCATGCTTGATGCCGATGTGATGAGATATGAGAGGCAATCCGTTTCTCGCATTCGCAGTTGGTGTCCAAGCAGGGTGACGCAGCGCGGTAACCGCATGAAGGACCTCCTTAGATGTCTGATTCGGCGGGCTACATCTTGGTTTGTTGGCTCACCAGCGTCGTTTGAGTCTTCGCGGTGCACCGGTGTGTTGGTAGCAAGCATGCTTGATGCCGATGTGATGAGATATGAGAGGCAATCCGTTTCTCACATTCGCAGTTGGTGTCCAAGCAGGGTGCCGCAGCGCGGTATCCGCATGAAGGACCTCCTTAGATGTCTGATTCGGCGGGCTACATCTTGGTTTATTGGCTCACCAGCGTCGTTTCAGTCTTCGCGGTGCACCGGTGTGTTGGTAGCAAGCATGCTTGATGCCGATGTGATGAGATATGAGAGGCAATCCGTTTCTCGCATTCGCAGTTGGTGTCCAAGCAGGGTGCCGCAGCGCGGTAACCGCATGAAGGACCTCCTTAGATGTCTGATTCGGCGGGCTACATCTTGGTTTATTGGCTCACCAGCGTCGTTTCAGTCTTCGCGGTGCACCGGTGTGTTGGTAGCAAGCATGCTTGATGCCGATGTGATGAGATATGAGAGGCAATCCGTTTCTCACATTCGCAGTTGGTGTCCAAGCAGGGTGCCGCAGCGCGGGAACCGCATGAAGGACCTCCTTAGATGTCTGATTCGGCGGGCTACATCTTGGTTTGTTGGCTCACCAGCGTCGTTTCAGTCTTCGCGGTGCACCGGTGTGTTGGCAGCAAGCATGCTTGATGCCGACGGGATGAGATGTGAGAGGCAATCCGTTCCTGTGGATCATTGTTTGGTTCTTGATGGCATCGGTTTGTTGGTAGCAAGCATGCTTGATGCCCAGAGGATGAGCTATGAGAGCCATGACGCTCGCAAGCCTTTGCAGTTGGGGCCAAGTTCTTGGAGGGCAACTTGCGTTGCGGGAAGCACGCATACAGCTCTCCAGGTGTATCACGGGAGGTAATGAGGCTTCTAGGACCCAGAGTAGGCCCTTATTCCCTTTTATTTAGGGTTTAGGTTCCCGAAAAAGCCTTAAACTAAACAGGGCGCCCCTTTTATTCATAGGTTACTCTTGGGTCTAGGCTTTCCTTTTGGCAGATCAGTGTCCTTGAGTTCTTGATCTGTCCAATTATCTCACTCACGGGCTCCAGTAGCTTTTGCTTCCCCACTCTCTCTATATTATGGCTCGTTACATGCATCATTATACCACAGAACTAGAGGTGTGCATTGAGTGTTGCCAAGGGCAGTTCTACGGCGAAGTGGCCACCAGGCGCAGAACCTCCCCGAAAGAGGTTTAAAGGGTTTAGGGTTCAGGGTCTGGTAGGGTTTAGGGTTGTCAGGTTCAGAGGTTGGTTCTACGCTTGAAACACACATGTCGAAGGGTTCTGCATGTAGGAGACAAGAGGAAAATGGATCGAGACAGCTTTCCAGCTTGGTAGAACCTGTGTGGAATACTGTGCGCCAGTGTTCCATGTGCCGAGTAGGAAGGTTTCGACGCACGGATATGGATGGATTGAACAGGCTGCGTTTGTCAGCTGTTGATGTGGCCCTAACCCTAAACCCTAAACCCTAAACCCTAAACCCTAAACCCTAAACCCTATTGCCCGAAGCCTATGTCGCAGGCCGAGCACTTCCGGACAGCCGCTGGCAATAGCGAAGTGCCCGAGAAGGACTCGGCTCCATGAGCGCCTCGTGTGAGTAAACCCTACACCCTAAACCCTAAACCCTACACCCTAAACCCTAAACCCTAAACCCTAAACCCTAAACCCTAAACCCTAAACCCTAAACCCCAAACCCCAAACCCCTAAACCCTAAACCCTAAACCCTAAACCCTAAACCCTAAACCCTAAACCCTAAACCCTAAACCCTAAACCCTAAACCCTAAACCCTAACCACCAAGGGCTTCTCCAGGATGAGTTATCTATAATCCCCATAAAAAGCTCACAAAAGGGGGCTTATCAACAACCCCACACAGGGCTCCCCTCAAAAAGGCTGGCAGGCCCTAGAATCCCCATAAGCAACCCATAAAGGGCTTAGAATCCCCATAAACAACCCTGCAATAGAGGGCCCTTAAGGAAATGTCATAACGGGGTCTAACACAGCCCATCCTGTTTGTTGACCCATTGCCGAGTTGCTTATTCGAAGCCTTGGCTTGGCGGCGTGGCTAGCGATGAAAAGCCAGGACTTGATGGACATGCTAACATCACTCAACGAAATCGCGGGGGCCTCGGTGGCAAGCCCCAGGAGTTTAGGGGTTTAGGGTTTAGGGTTTCTAAGGTTCAGGGTTTAGGGTTTAGGGTTGTTCTACTTAATGGAAAGCACCGATGTTCGTTGATGCATGGACATGCACCCAGGTGGTGAGTACCGACAAGGAGCACAAGGCTTTCGAAAAGCTTTCCAGTGTCCACGCCTCAGTTTCTCCAACCCTATATGTTGGGATGTCCCCCCTTGTACTAACAGTCCTTAATAGGGACTACAGTGGGGGGTAGTTACTATAATAAATCCCCGTCAAGGACTGCTAATGATCAGGGGGAGCATCCCAACCTATAAGGCAAATATCCATCCTGGCCAGCTCCGGAGTGGGTGAATCAGGCACGCGAGACGGCCTGCTTGTCTACCAAGAAGAGTCTTCAACAGCCTGAGGCCAAGATCCGAAGAGGGTTTAGGGTTTAGGGTTTTAGGGTGTATAGGGAACAGCGGGAAGAGCCTGATGCCAAGATCCGAAGAGGGTCGGGTTTAGGTTTTTTGGGGTATATATATGGAACGATGTCAAGATCCGAAAGAAGAACTCGATGCGGCTCTTGATGTCCAAAGCAAGTCATGCGGACGTGCAGAATGCCCTGGCATGAAGCCAAGGTCCATCTCCGAAGGAAGCCAGTCGATCAAGACTGCGCGGGCCTTGTCACGCGCAAGGGCAAGAAGAGCACGTTGTCCATGAGTTCTGGTGGGTGGCAGGTCTTGTTCTGGGCATGAACCCAAAGCCCTGCAACCCTAAACCTGCAACCCTAAACGCTGCAACCCTAAACCCTAAACCCTGCAACCCTAAACCCTAAACCCTGCAAACCGCGGTTGTTTGTTTTTGGGGCTGAGCGAGGCGCAGGTGGAGCTGTCGAAGGCCATGAGCGAGGTCGAGTCCATCCAGGTGGACGCCGAGCCTTTTCTTCTCAGAACCGTCTCGCACGGCAGTGAGGGAATTCGGGCCCTACTGTACATATATATATATATAAAGTATATGACATAATGTAATATAATATAATATCATACAATATATTACAATGTAATCTAATATCATATCAATATAACATGATACATTATACCCTTTAAGAAAGCATATATAGGGTACCTCATTCCCGCATTCCCTACCCAACGGCAAGTTGTGCCAGCAAAGGGTTCGACATGCCAGGGCGGGGTGAGTGAGCTGAAGTCTCAAGTCAAGACCGTGGAGGATGAGCGGGGTCCTCAACTCTATCGGCACGGCCATGGACATTTGACTGAACTGTCAAGACATGGCCTGTGTTGTCGCTTCAACTGCTGCCAAGGATTGCTGCTCTTCAGAAGCAGCTTGCTACACTGCGAACGGAGCGAGCTGGCCTTAGTACTGACATGAAAATCTTGATGGGCCTGAGCCATGAATATGCGACTTGTTTGACATGGCTGCACCACCACAAGGCATGCTACATCAGCCCTCATCTCCATACGTGAGCACCCTCAACCCACCTCACCGAACCTGTGAGACCAACCCGAAACCCCAAGCCCTGCCTGGGACTCTATCTACCCACAGTTTAGTAAGTAGTCACTACCCATTATAATTAGTAGGTTATAACCCCTTAAGATGTAGGTAGAGAGAGTCCCAGGTAAACCCTGAACCAGGTCAAGCCGCCATTGCGCGCGACTCCGGCTACACGCGGGAAGTCAAGGCCGGAGCCTCGTGGAGTCTAGGACGTCGGGTTCAGGGGTTCAGGTGTTTAGGGGTCCAGGGGTTTGGGGTTTAGGGTTTGCGGTCTAGGGTTTGGGGTTCAGGGTTTAGGGTTTAGGGTTTAGGGTTGAAAAGCCGTGCCTAATTAATTTAACTCAACCCCGGAGTTGCCAGGCCATCCTGAGCAAGGCCAAGCAACGGATCGACCAGGCGGGAAGATGCCCAGAGAGCCCAATACCCCTTCGGTACAGAGCATCCCTTAACCCATAAAAACTTGGTAGCCCAGTGGTGCCCTTTTCCTTTTTCCCCACCCTCGGCGTGGGGGTTGTTAGATTTTTACCTGTCAACGCTTCTCCTCGCCCGGTCTACTCCTCGCTCATCCCTGGAGTGCGCAACCCCGGAGTGTTTCTGGAGTGCCCAACCCCAGAGTGTTCCTGGAGCGCCCAACTCCAGAGTGTCCTTTCAGTGCCACCCAGAGTGTGCCTGGAGCACCCAACCTCAGAGTGTCCCTGGAGTGCCCAGCCCCAGAGTGTGCCTGTTGTGCCCAGCCCCAGAGTGTCCCTGGAGTGCCGAACCCCAGAGTATCTCTACCCAGAGAGGGTGGGGACGTTCGAAGTCACGAAAGCTCGCGTAGCGAAGCTGGAGTTTTATCTGCTTTAGCAGCAGGGGGCCGACCACGGCCAGAAAACAGCGTATTATTGATACTATCTTATTAGGTGGGGGGGGGTGGGGGTGGGGGGGGGGGGGGTAAATTGATATATCACACGAATTCCTTGGTTGGGGGAGGGGGGGGGTGGGGGGGGGGGTAAATTGATACATCACACGAATTCCTTGGTTTTGGAGGGGGGGGGGGGGGGGGGGGGGGGGGGTGGGGGGGGGGGGTGGGGGGGGGGGGGTGGGTAAATTGATATATCAATACCTTAAAGGGAGGCCTTTTTTACGTCAAGACCTGACTCCGTCGCGTGTTGACCGCAGCGCGTGAGTGAGGCTCCCAGCACAACATGCGTCGCCGCCCACTAGTGATGTGTTGATTGCAACAAGCTAGTTGATTGCAAGGAGCTAGTATCTACCCAACACTGCGACGGCTGAAAAGAAGACGCTGGCCCCTCAAGCATGCCTCCAACTGGGCCCTGCCCGCACTTTCTCTTGCAGCTTTGCTCTTGCTTCCGGCCCCCGAGCTTTCGTCCTCCCTGCCTCCGGCCCTCAAGTAAAAGATTTTCTGGTTCAAGGTTCCCTGATAAAGTAGCCCGCCCACAAAAGGGTGCCTTTATTTATAGCATGGCTACTGGGCTACCAAGATACAGTGTAGGGTATGTTTTATGGTGGAATACTCCTTACTGTTTCGTACTTCAGGGGTAGCCACAGCCGAGTGAATCTGTGAGCCGTGCCTCTTTCCTTTGTAGCTTTTTCCAAAACCGTGCGGTAGTGTACAGCCGCCTGCGGTGGCGAAAGCAGTGGTCTGAATGAGCGGCTTCGAACCGTGGAAGGAATAACTTAGGGCGGCTTGCCACCTTCGACGTCGTGCGGTGCGATGAAAGTGAGAGAGAAGGGCCATGTACAACCAGGCCTTCGCAGACACTCACACAGCGTGAAAAGCCCTAATTTTAACGCTACGCGACCCGCCTCGGCCCGGCCCAGCGCATCCGCGTGAGCATGGTGATTCCGCAGCGCCCAAGTCGCTGGACCCAAGCAATAAGGGTTGGGTTTAGGGTTTAATTAGGGTTCCGGGTTTATGGTTTATGGTTTGGGGTTTAGGGTTGAGGGTTAGTTTAGGATTGAGGGCTTAGGGCTCAAGGTTCATGCTTTGGGGTTTAGGGTTTTTTTGGGTTTAGGGTTCAAGAGACGGTTCGGCTTGGATTGATCGTAGGGTTGAGCCAGGCCCCTCAGGGGGGGGGTAGGGGTGGGGGGGGAAGGGTTAGACTCTTCCGCTGGTCCCTGGGCGTGCTCACACCAGTTGAGCCTCGAAAACAGGGGGGAGGTAGGGGGCGGGGGGGGGTGGGGGTGGGGGTGCCTGCTGGGAGGGGCTTCAACTGCCTCTGGTCCTGGCGAACCGTCCGCTTGCGGACCCCGGTTTCCTAGGGGGGGTACCCATTTGAGGCAAAAAAAGGGGTCCGAAAATTGGCTTTGGGTGTGGGGGGGAGGATTTGGAGGGGGGTGCCTGTTCTGACAACCTATACACCTCCGGCCCGAGGCCTCGGCGGATAAGCCTCACAAACCTTAGACCATAAACCCTGAGCCCTAAGCCTTAGAACCCTAAACCCTAAGCCTTAGAGCACTAAACCCTAAACCCGGAGACAGGTGTGGACTCGCAGTGGTGCGCACAAGGTGGACGACGTGGCCGAACTCCTCCAGGGTGAAGTCAAGGACCCGCCTCCACCCCCCCAAAGGATTTTTTGGTCTAGGGTTTAGGGTTTAGGAGTTTCAGAACCTCAACCCATTTCTCTGAGCTGTTTGACTCTGAATGAAGCCTCTTCAAAGCATTCTTGGGTAAGGGCAACGTACCACAAGCTGGGCTTGGGGGTTCGTAAGGTAGGGCTGAGGATGGGAATCGAACCTCAAGACTAGGTTAGAAGACAGCCGGTAAAACAAGATTGGACATTCCCCCAAAAGCATCCCTAAACCCTAAGCCCTAGAAACCCCAAGCCCTAAACCCTACACCCTGAACCCTGAACCGCAGTTTGTCAGAGTTGGGAGCTCTTCGCTGTGCGAAAGGGGGGGGGGTGTTCCGAAACTATGGAATCCTACGTTTTGATCTGCATTAGGGGTCCCTTGTTTTCGTAAACCCTCAACTTGGCGGCACCAGTTTAACTATGCGAAGCTAGGACGGACGCGAGAATGCCAACCTTGACTCCGAAATTAGGGGCGCCTTTGTGGGTCCTTTTTTTGGGCAGTCCTACTGTTTGGGGTCTACATTGGGGTTTGTTTTCGTAAACCCCAATTTGGCAAAAAATCATGCCACCCTTGGCATCGTTTACCATGCAGGACAGCAGCCGGAGTGCTGACGAGGCATGCAGCGATGTGTGTCATGCAGCGAATGCGCCGCCGGGCCAGGGCCAGCTGCCCAGAGATAGCATAGGGGCCTTAATCATTTTGAGAAAGGGTTTTGGGGGTTGCTATAGCAGTACTCTACAGGCACCATAAGGTAGTATTCGTACTTATTCCGACCTCTAGATTGGATGGCGGAAGCTTTTGTCTACTCGTTTTTGTTGTGGATCATTCGCATTGCTGTGTCCAGGCATTGGCTGCATGAGAGCAGCATCGCAAGTCCAAGCAGCCAACCCACGCTCTGCAAGCCTATCCCTTAAGTACATGCTTTGTACAAGGCCTCCTAAACCCTAAGCCCTAGAAACCCTATTCCTTATCTACAGACCTCAGGTATAAAAATCTCCTAAGCCCTAAACCCTAAACGCTCGACACTGCTTTTTGATGCGTGTGTGATGGGCCTCCTTTCTTCGTGAGCCTCGCCTGACAGCGGACTCGCCATGGCTGCGGAGGCATCGCAGAAGGACCCCTGACCTGCCCAGTCCGCCATGAGTTAGGGTTTAGGGTTCAGGGTTTAGGGTTCAGGGTTCAGAGTTTAGGGTTTAGGGTTACAAAGGGAAGTCTACCAGAATCATTGGGTAGATCTACCCTTCTTCTCAAGGTACAAGATTGCTTTCTGGTAGTGCTGTTTCTGATGCTAGGGTTTAGGGTTCGATCTGCACTGTCACTTCCCCAAAGGCTCCAATGTAGTTCCTTTTGGGTTAGGTCTAAGTCTGCGATTCTAGCATACTCCCAAAAGACGGTATTTCTGCATAGGAGCCTTTTGGGTAAGCCCTAAACAGAGGTATAAGGACCCTACATTGGGTTACAAGGATCCTATCTTATTAGTATAGGAAACTTGCCCCTCCTTGCAGGAGAGGAAAGTCCCCCTAAACCCTAAACTGGCCCTAAACCCTAAACCCTAAACCCTAAACCCAAACCCAAACCCCAAACCCTAAACCCTAAACCCTAAACCCTAAACCCTAAACCCTAAACCCTAAACCCTAAACCCTAAACCCTAAACCCTAAACCCTAAACCCTAAACCCTAAGCGTGCAGGAGAGGGAAGTCGAGGTGCAAGGCAGCGCGCGGCCGCCACTGCCAGGTGGGCCATGATGCGCGACTCTCGAACCCTGAACTCAGGGTTTAGGGTTTAGGGTTTAGGGTTTAGGGTTTAGGGTTTAGGGAGGTTCTTGGAAACAATTTTCAGTTTCTGGATACTCGAATCCCGAAGGAACAGCGAAGATTGTCATTTTTGCCAGGGTTCCACGTTCAGTCCAGTGAGCCCTGGATCCTAAACCATCGGTCGAAGCGGCTTCCTACTTTTCAGCATACTAAAACCCTAAACACTGAACCTAAGCCAGAGGCTTCTCTGCCAAGACGGAGCGATGGGTCATGGAGCCACAGCCTCGGTGTCGCGCGTGCTTCGCGCGTGCTTCGCGCGCCCCAAAAGGGTTTAGGGTTTAGGATTTAGTTTAGGGGTTGGGGTTTAGGGTTTAGGGGCAAGAAACTCTGAGATCCGAGTTTCGGGAGGCTTAGGGTGTTCATAGGATAGGGCTTACATAGGTTTAGGATTTAGGGTTTAGGGATTAGGGGTTTATCCGCTCCCCCTAATTTTAATCCCCGGTTTATATAGGGCTTTATATAGGGATTTTTTTATGAGGTTTAATATAGGGCTTGTACAGGGGTCATGTACCTAGGGCTTATATGAGGTTGCTTTTGGAGGTATATATAATGCTTACATATGGTTCGCTTATATAGGGGTTATTTAGGGCGTTTCTAGGGTTTTTGTTCTAGTTTTTTTTTTTAAATAGGGTTTATATGGGGTTTATACAGGGTTTTTTTGAGGCTGAAAGAGGTTTAAAGAGGGTTTGGAGTTGAGGGGTCTGTAGGCAGATGCTGCTGTTTGGTACTTTGTTCCTGCTACCGTTGCAGTATGGACTGCTTGGCTTCTCTGTTCCTGATCTTGCTTTTGGGGTTGGGGTTTAGGGTTTGGGGGGCCTGGCCGATGTGCCAACTTCTTGGATGTTCCCTGATGCAAGTTATGTGGTACCACCAGAAGTTTTCAGAAGCATCTTGGGAACCCAAACCCTACCTTACTGTGGTCATTCAGCCCCTGGTAGGAATCAGCTCTTAAAACAAAACGTGCAAAAGGGGTTGCGGGCTCTACCCTAAAAACTCTAATCCCTAAACCCTAAACCCCAAGCCCTAAACCCTAAGCCCTAAGCCCTAAACCCTAAGCCCTAAGCCCTAAGCCCTAAGCCCTAAGCCCTAAACCCTAAACCCCAACCCTAAATTGTAACCCCTCACGCCGAGGTTGATCTATGGCCAGCGCTGTGAGGCTGAGGAGAGGTACCTCAAGGACATTCTTCCGTGGCAAGGGTTTAGGATTTAGGGTTTAGGGTCAGGGTTTAGGGTTTCTTGTTTAGGGTTTGGGTACTTGGGAGTGTGTTTGGTGCAACGTCTGTCACGTCGTCAGGAGCGGCGAGAGAATGTGCCGGTTACAAAGGCCCTGGTTGCAGCTTGCATGAGTCTGTCTGGAGCTGCTGCTTGGAGGTTCAAGGGTACTTGTGAAGCGGGGTTTCAAGTCATTTTAATTGCAGCTATGACCGGATTGGGATACTTACAACCCCGCTTATAACTTCCCATGAACCTCCCAGTCGGGGGGGGGGGGGGGGTTTAGGGTTTCGGGTTTAGGGTTTACGGTTTAGGGTTTAGGGTTTAGGGTTTGGGGTTTAGGGTTTAGGGGGAGTCAGACGTTGAGCCAGGTCCCGTTGATGAAAGCCAAGGGCTTCAGAGCCACCAGATATCCATCCTACATCGTCGGGGCCTTAGGGCGTGTTCTTTGCTGTGCCATGACTTGGTGGACTTAAATCCGACACCCTCAGCCCTGTAAACCCTAAGCCCCTTAAACGCGCAACCCTAATCCTGAACCACAAGCCCTAAACCCCAAAACCCTTAAACCCTAAACCCCTTGAACCCTAAACCCCTTAAACCCTGAACCCTACAAGCCCAATCAACCCTAAGCCCCTTAAACCCCAAACCCCTGAGGACATCCGGCCGGCCAGCCCATCACCCTAAAACATGATACCCTAATTATTAAACCCTACAGACTCTGAACCCTAGAAACCCTAAACCCTAAAAACCCTAAACCACTTGAACCCTAAAACCTCTGAACCCTGTAAACCCTAAACCCCCAAACCCTAAACCCCTTAAACCCCAAACCCTAAACCCTACAAACCCTAAAGCCCTTGAACCCAAAGCCCCTTGAGACATCCGGCCGGTTGAAGACACAGCCCATCACCCTAAACCCTAAACCCCAAAGCCTCCTCAGGACATCCGGCCGGCCAGCCCATCTGTGGCCAGCAACATGAGCCGAAGGAGCCGGGCCTCCCTGACGGGCCAAAGCATCTGCAGCTCGGGCCTCGGATCTCGCGACCTTGGTTTAGGGCTTAGGTTTCCTAGGGTTTAGGGTTTTTTTTACGGTTTAGGTTTTTTTTTTTGGGGGGGGTGTTAGGGTTTGTTTAGGGTTCAGGGGTCAGGGTTCAGCGTCTAGGGTTTTGGGTTTAGGGTTTAGGGTTTAGGGCGACCTTGGCTATTCTAGATTCCGGCCCCCTTGTTCGGTAATTTGGGTGCCTTCTATGCAACGGGCCTCATCATAAAGAAGAGGTGCCCAAATCTAGGCTCCAGCCCGAGCCCTAAACCCTAAGCCCTAAACCCTAAACCCTAAACCCGAAACCCCCCGAAGAAGCCCTTACCGAGGCCAGCGCGGGCGAGGCCTCCATCTCCCAGCGAGCACCAAAGACCCGGCAACCCAAGCTGGACCAGCACGACGCGTGGAGCCCATTCAGGCGCGTTTAGGGTTTAGGGTTTAGGGTTTAGGGTTTAGGGTTCAGGGTTTAGGGTTTATAAGGTTTGGGGCTGGCGAGTGCTGCTGTTGAAGCACGGGTATGTGTAGGATCCTCAGCAAAGTTGCATAGACCAAGCTTCCTGCCACCTCCCTCTTGCTCAACAACTAAGCCAGAAACCCGAAACCCTAAATCCCAAACCCTGAACCCTGAAACCTGAAACCTAAACCCTAAACCCTAAACCCTAAACCCTGAACCCTGAACCCTGAACCCTAAACCCTAAACCCTAAACCCTAAACCCTAAACCCCACCCCCCCCCCCCCCCTCCCCCGAAACCCTAACCCCCATGCTTGAAGGAGGTGGAGGAGAAGAAGGAGGAGGTTCCAGAAACTGCCCCGGATGAGCTGGACCTTTTGGGGTGGCCTTCTCGGCTTGGAGGATGGGTTTAGGGTTTAGGGTTTAGGGTTTAGGGTTTAGGGTTTAGGGTTTAGGGTTTAGGGTTTAGGGTTTAGGGTTTAGGGCTACGTGTTTAGGGCTACGTGTAGACTTTGTGTCGCCCAATAAGTATAACCCGGGTTTAGGGTTTAGGGTTTAGGGTTTAGGGTTTAGGGTTTAGGAAGCCCCTCTAACAGACTCTGACATGGCTCTTCATTGAGTTGACTGTGGGAATTCGTGCCGCATAGCCCGTCCTGGTTTGCAACCTCTTTCCGAATCTTGCCAATTAGTGCTTCGCGGCTTCGCGCTGTTGCAGATGGCCAGGGTGTGTTGTGCGCGCGCGTTTCAGCAGAATGCAGTGACAGAATCATGCCGAGGCAGCGAAAAGCCAACAGCTTCATCATGCCCAAGTATGCCGCGGACTCAGTAGGCTCTTGGTAGTCGGCTACCGACTGAAATCCATGGGGCATGATTTCCACGCATAGGCTTCTTCAGCTGGTGGCTGAGGCTTTGGCCAAGTACACAATGAAGCACATGTGACGTGGAAGCAGAGTCTAGTGTTGAGCTTGCGTGGGCTTCGTCACAAGTCGGCCACAGTTATGACCTAGGTATCTGGCTGAGTGCGGCACGCGCAGCACAAGCATGCAGAGCCCTGGCACAGTTGAACCGAAGTCCGTTCTTTACATATTGGGGCGGGCGCCCAGTCTGCCATGATGCGTCGGATAGGATGCAATAGTTGCAGGAAGACCAGCCTACCCGTTTCAAAGTGAGGGTTTCAGTGTTTAGGAGTTTAGGGTTCAGGGTGTGGGTTTGGGGGTTTGTTTTTTTTTTCGGGTTTAAGGTTAGGGTTCTAGGATGTATTGCTTGAGGTTCAGGATTCATGCAGGTTTTAGGATTTTCAGTGTAAGGTTGAAGGACGTAGGCAAGGGTTCTGTGCCTAGGGCCTAAGGTTAGTTTGGGGCTTCAGGATGAAGGGTTAGGTTCCAGGATGAAGGACTTGTTGCGGCTGCGTAAGATAACTCGGCAGCCCTTGACTTGTAGATGTGAGAAGCTGTCTAAGCAAGAAGATGTTAAAAGAGGACAGCGCAGACTCGAAGCTGGTATACGTCACTAACGCTCACTTAACACGTCGTGTGTTCTTAGGCTAGTACCCAACCATCCTCAATGTACCTAGCTCTTGTGTTCTCAAAGTACAGCAGCTTCCTTCATGAAGACTCGCCGCTGAGCAAGGAACCTCCGTGGCGTCATCAAGCCAGCTCACAATGCTCGCAGTTTGCACCTGAGAGTTTACAGCGACGTCAGACGTAGCCCCGAGCCCATGAATGCCTTCGAGCTTCAAGGTACAGCTGCAAGCTTCTTCCAACAGCAAGCAAGAGCGTCCGGGTGACGCCTGACCATCTAGCGAGGCAAAGGGCCCTCATCAGGAAGTCTCACGCATATTCCACAAAACTTTGATCTCGTTGCGGTGGTTCATCGCCAAAGTGATGATGCAGGGCATGCTCTCTCCTCGGGCATGCAGAAGCAGCCTGAAGGAGGAGTCTGTTGTCCGACTCCGCAATCCGATCGTTAATGATCCCGGCGCGCTTCTCTACGTCTCGACCGCCCCCGAAAAATGAACTGCAGAGCTCGGAGGTATCGGTGCTGGGGCCCGGTTTGGGGTTTAGGCGCTTCCGGATCTCTTTGCAGGCATGGGACCCGAGCGCGCTGGCAGAAATTCACAGCAGCCTTACTGACGAAGATGCAGCTGGCGGCACTCCTGACAAGACTGCCAGGAGCATGGGACCTCGTGTTTTTAGGGCTGCGGGATGTTTAGGGTCTTGTTGGGAAAGCCCCATACTCCCCTCAAGCCCGAAGCCCCCTGTAAACCCTAAACCCTTTTGGAAATTGGAAAGCTTAAAGCCCCGAAACCCGACCGCAAACCCCAAATCCCGAGGTCCCTAAATCCGAAACCCCCTGCAAATCCTAAAGGCCCTTGAATACCCTGTGACAGGACCGAAGCTGCGGAGGGCAGCTCCAAGGCACACAGCTGAGCTCTGTTGTTTTTTTGTTTCTCTTGCTTGTTGCTTTGTTGTTTTCTTTGTGTGCGCGTGATTGCGCGTGTGTGCGCGTGTGTTTTGGGCTGTTTTTGTTGTGTGTTTATTTTGGGTGTTTGTTGCTTTTGGTGTTTTGGGTTGTTGCGGGTGTTTGGGGTTGTTTTGGGGTGTTGGTGTTTTTGTTTTTGTGTTGTTGTTTTTGTTGGGCGGGGGGGGGGGGGGGGGGGTTGGGGGTTTTGGGGTTTAGGATTTAGGGTTTGGGGCTTGGGGTTTACAGACTGGTTCTTCAATAAATACAATTAGACAAATTTTGGGACCCTCCCCCTTATGCTAACAGTCCTTAGTCGGGATTATAGTACCCCCCCATTATCGTCCCTATTAAGGACTGTTAGTAGAAGGGGGAACATCCCAAAAAACATGTAAATATAGACATATAAGTGGGGGGATATACTAGATGCCTACTTCCCTAAACCCTTAACCCTGAACCCTTAACTCTAAACCCCAAAGCGAATAGCCAGTAGGGTTGAGGGAGAAGCCCAGGCTCTCGCCAAGGATGCGGCAGATGTCAACAAGGCCGCTCAGATTGCTCGCGAGGCCGGAGGTTTGAGGTTGTAGGGTTTTATGATTTTGGGTTTTTGGGGGTCTAGAGTCTAGAGTCCTAGGGGTTTTGGGGTTTTTGGGGTTTAGGGTTTAGGGTGTGGGGTTTAGGGTGGGACACTGGGAGCGACTGCGAGAACATGCCAAGCCATATTGCAGAGTTAACCTAAACCCAAAACCCAAAACCCTGAACCCTAAACCCTAAACCACATACTGCTTGCAGGCCTTCGAGCTGGAGGTGGGTGCACTACTTCTGCGAAGCGTGTTGAATTCGGGGCCTTCTAAGGGGCGCCGCTGTTAGACTTAAGGGTTCCTCCCAAAAGGGACCCCGATGTAGAATCACTCCATGTCTTCTGAAGTCTGTGCGGTCGCACCAGCCGTACTCTGCAAACATGGCCATTCTCTTTCTGGTTTTGCTTCAGAACGTTACCCTAAACCCCAAAACCCTAAACCCCGAAACCCACAACCCTAAACCCCAAAACCCTAAACCCTAACCCCTAAACCCTAAATTTAAAAAAAACAAAAAAAACATTGTAACCAAACAAAAGAGCCGACGCAGGAGCTGCGTCTGATGGATCTGCTCCAGGCGAAGCGGAAGCTGCCCAGACCCCGGAGCCTTCGCAGCCTGGGAGTTTAGGGTTTAGGAGTTTGGAAGTCTAGGAGTTTGGGAGTTTGGGGTTTAGGTGTTTGGGAGTTTGGGGTTGAGGAGTATGGGAGTTTCGGAGTTTCGGGCTTGGGGGGAAACGTCTCGCTTGGCATCTAGAACGTGCTTTCACCTATTGAAGTTTGCCTTTCTGAGTCCGAATTAGTTGCAATTAGTTGCAACTATTTGTGCAAAAATGTTCTCAAACCGGCGAAGCACCCTAACCGCCCCCGCACCCCCACTCCCTAAGCCCTCACGCCAGTTGCCTGGAATCCCTGGTGAGGCTCGGGCCTTTACAAGAAGGCCTTGCTGACCGGCAGCCAGAGCACGGGAGCAAAGCTGGGGGGAGTGTATAGTACAAGCCAAAAAGTTGGAAACTCAATAGCCTCAATCCCTAAGAGCAAAGTATAGGGAATCCCAGCACTATTTGTCCTTAAAAAGGTTGCCAACTTTCTAGGGTTTACTGTCGGGGTTAGGGTTCAGGGATGGTCTAGGGCTCAGAGTTGTAAGTAGGAGAACTATAGTTGTTATGAACTTGTGTAGGATACCTGATGTCGCCACTTGCAAGTACCCGTGAACCTGCAAGTTTGCACTGAGAACCTCCTTGCCAGGCACAGGTCAGGTCAAGCGACGTCCGAAATGGGGGTTTCCAAAACAGGCGCACACTTTTTTGGGGCTCCTGCATCAAGGTGGTTTCTCATCGTTTGGGGTCCACGCTGGCATCACCTGGGGGGGGGGGGGGGGGGTGAGGGGTATGTTGTATTCAGGATGCCGCTATATCCCGGACATGCCAAAATATGATGAATTAAATAGTTTTCAAGAACCACAATAGACTACCTTGCAAGACTTACAACTCCCACATGGTCTTTTCCCTTTCTCTCGTTCTCGCTCGGGAAGTGGAGAGTCGGCTTTTCAAGGATGGGGGGGTGCTCTTGGCTTGACATGCTTGGCGTGCCCCCAAAAGCTACTGGTTCTTGTTTGCAAGCTCTAAGGATAAAAACCTCTTAAAAGGGCTTTTAGGTGACCTACAGACAGGGGATTTGGGGTTGTTGTCAGCGGTGACCTACAGACAGGGGATTTGGGGTTGTTGTCAGCATTGCAGCGCTGTTCGGGATGTGAGCTGATGGCAGAGTCGTCCAAAGTTGCGGTACACCCTCGCAGTATCGGAGCAACCCCGAACCCTACACCCTAACCCCAAGCCCTAAACCCTATACCCTATACCCTATACCCTGAACCCTAACCCTAAACCCTAAACACTAAACCCTCTCTGGGCCATGCCGAGGTTGGCAGATCAGCTGAAGAAGATCTCGGAGGCTGTCGACCTGAGCAGTGCTGCATTGCCCTAAACCCTTACAGTAAACTTGATAAACCCTAAACCCTCAACCCTAAACCCTAAAACCTAAACCCTAAACCGTCGAACATGGTTTAAGGTCGACGGTACATGTGCGCTTTCTTGGGGTATTTTGTATGAAGGTTGCGCCGGGCACAGTTCAGGCAACAGCTTTCCCTTTTTGCAGACTCCGAGCCATGGTGTACTTTACCAAAATAGCGTACCTCTTTGGGACCCATCTAGAATTCAACACCCTTACACTAGGGACCCCCAGAAAGAGCCCACCCCCAACCCCATAAACCCTAAATGCCCCCTCAACCCGGTAAAGCCCCCAGACACCCAAGCCCCTCAAGCCACTAAGCCCTGGCCCTCAACCTTTCAACCCGAAAAAGCTCTAAACCCCAAACCCTCAACCTTCAACCCCAAACCCCAAACCCCAAACCCCATAAGCCCTAAACCCTAAACCCCAAAACCCCATGAACCCCAAACCCTTAATTACTTTAGAGAGCTACCCAATTAAGCACCGAGGCCAACCGCACCGTGGCCTGAAACCCGGGGGACCTCCTCGCTGCTGCTTTTGGGTTGGGGTTTAGGGTTTAGGGTTTAGGGTTTAGGGTTTAGGGTTTAGGGTTTAGGGTTTAGGGTTTAGGGTTTAGGGTTTAGGGTTTAACATTTAGGGTTTAGGGTTTAGGGTTGCACAGGGTACATAGGGTTCAGGTTGCGATATCGAAAGAGTTTCGCGCTTTCAGCCCCAATCAGTTTCGGTGGTTCTGCTTGCTGGATTGAGTGGCAAGCACGCAAGCTTTGTCATTTACGAGGCCTAAGCGACGAGCTACGTACTTACGCAGAACAGTCGCACTGCACGCGCCCTACTCGTCCCAACCATCGCGGTATTGCTTTCACATAGGCTTGTTCCGCTAAATCGCACCGCGACCCTAAACTCTACCACATACCATATAAACCCGAAACCAAAGCGCTACTGGAGCTCCACAGCTTGCGGCACGTGAGGCCATGTCCAAGAAAGGTGTGCAGCGCGACACTGCAGTCTTGGAAAAGCCGGACTCTCGCGGCTTCAGGGTGGGTTTAGTGTTTTGGGTTTTGGGTTTTGGGTTTAGGGTTCACAGCCAGCCCCTTTTCTTTTCTGGGAGGTCACCTGAGTCTGAGAGGCATGTAGAAGGGACTTTTTAGAATGCTGACCCACAGACAACTGGAGGGGTTCCGGGGTTCTTGGCACAGAGAGGTCAAAGGCCCCCCTAATCCCGAAACCCGAAACAAATCCCTATAACCCTAAACAGCCTGACCGCCCAGGGGGCATCAGACCCCTTGCTTGGGTTGCACGTGCGGGCCCGATATGGCCCCTAGTTTTTGGGAGAATGTCGTAGTAGTAGCCCTTCAGGGTACATACATAACTAGGACGTACATGCAGAAATATTAGCATGTACTTGTGCGGGTTATATCAATAGATCTCTATAATTCGAATAAATGAACAACATATGCATGTATATATACACACATAGATATCAATATGTAGACAAGATGAAGACAAACACAAAGATAAATAAATCCATATATATATATATATGTGTGTATATGTAGACAATGGTTGTCGAAAGGATCCAGGATCAAGGGCCCGGAGAAGCCCCGCAGGTCCGACGTTAGATGCGACCTCCTCGCCAAGGCGGGCCCCGCGACCGCAACTCGTAGTGGGCTATCTTTTCAGGAGCCCAACATCTGCATTTTTTTTGTAGGGCTTGATGATCAAGCCCCTTATTATGGGTCACCTGTGAATAAAAATAGGTCTTGGGGTTCTTATGGAGGATGCTCGGATCTCAATCACGCAGCCTTGGCAGGCCAGCGGTACCCTTTTTCCCTTTCTCTTAGTTCAGGAACCTTATTCAGCAGCTAACCCCCAAGAAAGGGTGCCCCTGCTGCTTAAACCCTAAACCCTAAACCCTGAACCCTAAACCCTGAACTGTTAATATGGTTCCAAGCAGCGAGTTGAAGCCGCTGACGTGAAGGCGAAGAAGTTTGAGGCCGACAAGCGACCGGAGGCCTGCGAGCTTGGCGACGGGAGGGTTTAGGGTTTAGGGTTTAGGGTTTAGGGTTTAGGGTTTAGGGTTTAGGGTTTAGGGTTTAGGGTTTAGGGTTTAGGGTTTGGTGACCATGCTTCTGTCCCGCGCAGCAAGCCATCATGGCGTAAAGGTGTGGTGTACTAGTAGGATTTGTTACCATGATAGTATTTATAGGAGTAGAGTAGCAAAGTAGGACAGAAGCAAAGTAGTAAGAAAGTAAAGTAGTATAGTAGTATAGCACTATAGCGGTATAGCACTATAGCAGTATAGTAGTATAGTGGTACAGTAGTACAGTAGTATAGTGGTATAGTAGTATAGTAGCCATTCTCCACGGTGATCTGCTGAGGTCCGGGAACAGGTGGTCATGGCCGTTTCCTTCCTGAAGTCCATAGCAGTTGCCTCAGCCATGGGCAAGGGCACCGCCATCTCGACAATCAGTTCTTCTTCTTACTACTGATATTGTTTTTGGAATTGCTATTGTTATTGTTATTGTTATTGTCATTGTTATTGTTACTGCTATTGTTATTGTTACTGCTATTGTTATTATCAGCCAGTGAGGCCCTGTTTTGAATTTCTTGAAATCTATCGGTGGTTCGCTGCTTGCTTTCGTTCTTGTTTGCAGTCTTGTGGTGGTTCATCAGGGTTTGTTTATGGACCGTACGATTCTTGATGCATTGAGGAATTGCAGGTGACGGCGTGCGCGGGGGTCAGCGCGCCGATACTACATAGAGTCAAGCAGCCTTCCCCTGCCGGCCCCTGGAGGGACCGATCCCCACGTGGGCGTCATGCGTACTCGTAGAGAAATGTGGAGGCAGATGATGTTCTGGGGTTTGCCATTGGGGCTCAGGGTTTACGTGTATTCGATTTGCTCAGAGTACTCAGGGTCAACGCAGATTCTCACAGCTCAGCGTGTTACCGTTGAGTTGGCACAGCTGTTCCTGGGGCCCGCCGGCCGGATGCCGCCTTGCGGCCTCTAGCCCTAAACCCTAAACCCTAAACCCTAAACCCTAAACCCTAAACCCTAAACCCTATTGCTATGCTGCCCAAGGCGAAGGCTTCGGACTTCACGCTCACTCCGTCCTGAGCTTGGGCGCGAGAAGCATCTTGTCCTCACCCAACGGCTCCTATGTAGTACCTTTTTTGGGGGTAGTCTGCTAGAATCACTAGAATCCCCTAGAACTAACCAAAAAGGAATTACATTGGAGCCTTTGGGCACTCGCGACGGAAGATTTCTTGCCAGCTCGCACCCAAGGGGGGCCGAGGGTCCCAAGACTTCGCCCGTGAACTTCTTGCAGCTGGACTCCATCAGTGGCAGCCACAGCTTTGCGAGACGCGCATGCTCAGACTTGTCATCTTAGGGGGTGCCTTCCGAAATTCGGGGTACCTTATAATGGGGGTTCTTATTACAAGGGAACCCTACTCTAAACCCTAAACCCTAAACCCTAAACCCTGAACCCTAAATAGGGGTCCCCTATTTTGATAAGCCCCCCATTTGAGGCCGAGACGGCGGCGAAGACCTATCCGAGGCTGGAGCTCCCAGCTTTACCGTGCAGTGCTTAGGGTTTAGGGTTTAGGGTTTAGGGTTTAGGGTTTAGGGTTTAGGGTTTAGGGTTTAGGGTTTAGGGTTTAGGGCTTAAACTACTCACATCTTACCCTTAAAGGCCGAGAAGTTCTCAAAACCCTGAAAACCCTTCAACCCAAAAAACCCTGAAACCCTGAAACTCTTAGACCCTAAAACCCTTGAAACCTGGAACCCTGAAACCCTGAGACCCTAGAAGCCTTGAAACCTGCAACCCTAAAACCCTCAAACCCCTCAACCCTTCAACCCTTCAACCCTTCAGCCCTTCAGCCCTTCAGCCCTTCAACCCTTCAACCCTTCAACCCTATGTCTGCGCTGCTCCGTCAGGCCGTGCGCAACGCCTTGCACAACATCGAGGCCCTGAGCGAGAGCCATCGCGGTCTCTCTGAGGACCTCCAGGCCCCTCGTCATGCTGTAGGGTTTAGGGTTGAGGGGGTTTGGGGGGTTTAGGGGGTTTTGGGGGGTTTGGGGGGGTTTTGGGGGTTTAGGGTTTAGGGTTTAGTACTACTACATGCTACTAGACTACTGAAATGTTGTTCTGCGATTCGATTGTACCGATTATGCTGCTTTGCCGCTATGCTACGATGCAACTACACGGTAACTACACTATTCCACACTATAATGGTAACAGGTTATACTATTGCGCGATTATGCGTTTATGCGTTCATGGATGTTATAGGCAGTATGGTTTGATATGTATTGTTGTGCCATTACACGATGATTTAAGAAACCTGGCTCGTGGCATATCTCCTTTTTACATGAACTGGAGTCAAGTCGGATGCACTGTTTCACAAGTCTGTATGTGTACCAGTAGTGACTAGTTTTCACTACCTTCTATAGCACAGAAGTATTGTAAATACAGCAAGTTGTGGATACATAAGATATTAATATATATATATATATACATATACAAAGAGATATACATACACATCCATAGTGTATATACAGACACGTTATATACAGTTGATTTCCACTATTTCAACGTTTCTCATTACACACACTATGTATGTGTATACACATACATATGTATATATATATATAGATACATATATACACATACATGTTAGTCTACATATGTAGACTCGATGCGTATACACGGCTATTTCATGCGCAGCTCAGCAGGCAAGTGACGACACCGTTCCGGCCGCGCCTGAGAGCAATCTTGTGCAGGCCTCGCTGGCAACTAGCTTAAGAACCCCAGGTCCTCTTTTGTAGACGACTGCAGGGTTGTATAAGAGGTTTTATGACAACCCTCGAATCATAGTAGTTACAGCAGGTTCTCCCAGTTTTAGGGTTCTTAAGTAGTCGACAAGAGTCGCCTCGGGGGTTGTGAGGTGCGTGAATCCCATCTCGCCGCCATGTTCGGTTTTTTCGCAGAGCCTGGGATTCTCCAAGTCTAAGGGCAAGTTCATGGCTTCAACCCTAAACCTTCAACCTTCAACCCTAAACCCTAAACCCTAACGGTTCCTAACTACTTGCGATGTTGCCTCACCTCTGCTTGAAGGGGTCTGAAGGATGGGCCTCCCATAAACGCGTTTCTGGTGTCAAAAGTAGGGTTTAGGGTTTAGGGTTTAAAGGGTTTTGGGTTTAGGGTTTAGGGTTTAGGGTTTTACTGTATCAGGGGTACTCAATTGGGGTCCTGAAACCCTCGTTTGGGTTTAGGCTTCCAAAACCGAGCGGCCATGCACTAAGGGCCCTTGTAACCGGATCGGTGACTCGGTCTGAAGCTTGAAGCTTGCGCACATGGGGCGACTAAATTTGGGTTCCTTGGTTTAGGGTTTAGGGTTTAGGGTTTAGGGTTTAGGGTTTAGGGTTTAGGGTACCCTAAACCAGAGAACCCTAAATTGAAGGTTCCGTGTCCTAACAGAAAATGCCATGCGTGCCTGGAGGTGGGTGCTGGCACGGAGAGTGGCCAGGCCTGGCCATCGACCAAAGCCCCAAGTTATAGTTTTGCTTTTCCTCTTTTTTATTTTCATGTTCTCATAGTTTGTTTGTTGTGTTGTTCAAAGGTTTGTGTTATCGTGTTTGTTTAACAGTTTAACACTTTTGTTGTGGATTTCTTCTTGTGAATGATCAATCACCGTCCTTGTTCTCAAGGCCTCATGCTGTCGGGACCCTGATCAAATTCCCACTGAGGGCAACACCGGAAAAGGGCGCACAACTCCAGAAATGACTTGTCATGAAGATGTCCTTTTGGATGATTGAATGGGCTCATCCCCTTGAGCTCGCGGTGTGGCATGTTGCCGTCTGCCCTAAGCAAGCCCCAGACCTAAATCTTCCAAGCCGGTCGGAATCATTTCTCTTAGTATTCCCGTATGGCCCCTATATAATTACACTATAAGATTCCCCCCCCCCCCCCCGCCCCCCGCCACAAAAAAAAACAAACACGATGCTAATCATTAAGCCCCCTATGGTAGTTCCTCGCTTTCACTGCCAGGCTGCCAGGGAGACGGCCGACTCTCTCAAGAGCTTCGGATCAAACTAAGTGCTTTGAGTGCCTTAGGGTTTAGGGTTTAGGGTTGTTTAGGGTAGAGTTTATACAAGTTTTCGTAGGTTGGTGCGGGTGTGTCGGGTCTTCATATAAGGTTGTTTTTTATTCGTCAGGTTTGTATAGGGTTGCAGAAGGCTTTAGTGACAGAGGGTTTTGGCATCCTTCAGTCCCCAAGACTGTGCCAGCAGCCACGTCCGATGTGGGTTTGTGTCAGCGGTAAGTATGTACTGCTGGGACTCTCTGTGAGTTTGTAGACCTGATAAACTTCCACAGACAGCCTTTTGCATCACCTGAAGCCTTATGGGATCCCTACAGCAATAATTGCTCGTAGGAAGGAGAATCTAAAGCAGCCTTAGTAACAGAAAACGAGGTGATTTGCTCCATTGGCCTGTATAGGGTTTTTGCAGAGGCGTTCTATTGCTTTACAGGAGAAGTACAGAGCTTATATAGGCTTCGTGCGCCACACCCTTTCCGCACCCAGGGGGGTCAAAGAGATGATCTCCAATCTGATTGCCTCACTTCGGGAGGTGGGAAGCTTGCGTTGTTGGGGATGTACTGCGTGGATCGGGAAATCTGAATGAGAAGATGGGTCACAAGAGACCGCAGACAACTGGGAGGTTGGCTGAATGTGGGTTGCTGACAGCTCTTGCGTGTTCCCTAAATCCTGAAACCCTATGCTTTGGAGTGCAGGAGCAAAGCCAGGACAAGGACAAAGGCAAGTTCTGCGCTGGCGGCTTAGTTTGAACTCTCACGCCCATACTGCGTCCTACCTCAGTTGTAGAGTAGGTAACATTTAACCTTTTTGGGGTAATAGAATCCCCTTATAATCCCGAAGGTTCACCTTTAGTTCCCCCTAGGTACTGGAGAACTAGGCGACCAGTGCAGCTGAAATTGCTGCCAAGGGAGCCTGGCAGTCCTCAGCAGGGCGCAGCAGAGTCGTTTGTTAACTTATACAGTAATCATGTATGCGATGCGTAGTTTTAGTAGATGTATATGTTTATGATAAACATGTACATGTCAGTGTACATGACAAGTTACCTCGTTGCGGATGCCGATGTTTGGGGTATACAAGGGGGGGTTATCCGGTACCCCGATAGAAAAGCCTGAGCATCCCTCACCAGCAAGCCCTCGTCACGCCTTTATGCCCGTCCCGCCTGAATTCGATCTCGCAGGCCGGAATTTGGCCGGTTGAAATACGTACAAGGATGCCGACCTGGGCCGAAGGGCCCAATTTAAAGAGAAGAATAGTGCCTGCTGTTTACGATGTAGGAACCCAGACGTCAGGCCCTAACCCCGAAACTGGCGCGCCGAGGAGGAGCAGGAGAAAAAGGCCCGCGAAGGCTTCAAGAAGCTCTCAGCCGCCACGGAGGCAGTCCCTAAACCTTAAACCCTATACCCTAAACCCTACACCTTACACCCTAAACCCTAAACCCTAGGCAGTCCTTGCCGCAGTTTCAGCGGTTCAGTTGTGCAGAAAGGTCGAGGGGTTTCTTGACCATCGAGAGCGCCCCTTCAGCAAGTGGAGCCCCTATTGCAGATCCCCAAAGTTTTTGTCCACTCACCCCCCTCCTTCGGCCCCTTGGCCGCCTATGTGCGATGTTCGAGAACAAAGCCAGAGAGAAACCGAGAGGGAGCCCTGAGCTACGTAACCAAAAAAGTTTGGGCAACAAAGAACAGAAGAGAGTAAGATGCCAAGAGAGTTTACACTTATGAACAACCACCCTAAGCCCCTAAAACCCTAAAACCCCTAAACCCCTAAAACCCTGAACCCCTCAACCCCTGAACCCCTGGACCCCTAGACCCCAAAACCCCTAACCCTAAACCCTGAACCCTAAACCCTAAAGACATGCAGAAGTGCAGGACGCAGAGCAAGCCAAGCGCTGGGCGGAGAACGCAGTCCTGGACCTCCAGGACAAGGGATGTGTCATGTCGGGCTGGGGTTTGGGGTTTAGGGGTTTAGGGTTTTTGGGGTTTAGGGTTTTAGGGATTTAGGGTTTTTCGGGTTTTAGTTTTTTTGGGTTTTAGGGTTTTAGGGATTTAGGGTTTTGGGGTTTTAGGGGTTTTAGGGGTTCAGGGTTTTAGGGTCTAGGGGCTTCTGCAAGAGTTCGGGGAGGGTTGTAGGATTTTTTGGGTTTTTAGGGTTTTAGGGTTTTGGGGGTGTTAGGGTTTTAGGGTTTTAGGGTTTTAGGGGTTTAGGGTTTTGGGGTCTATAGGCCTTTGCGAGAGTTCGGGGGAGGGGGGGGGGGGGGGGGGGGGGCGGCCTCCTCTCTTTGCTGAATTCTGGGAGGCCCAAGCCCGCTTCCTGGAGGCTGACGTGAGCCGGCTCAAGCAGTGTGGCCCCCAGTTGCACTTCTGGGAGACGATCGAAAGGTTCTTCAGGGAAGTTGCTTGGGGTTTGGGGTTTGGGGTTTAGGGTTAAGGGTTTAGGGTTTAGGGTTTAGGGTCTGCATTGGGTTCATAGGGAAATATAGGGTCACTGTGGGAACAGGCATCCCTATTGGCCCTAAGCCTTTTGTCCCCCAAACTCTGCCCCTCAGAACCGCATGTCAACCCTGTACACCCTAAGCACAGTATCATATTTTGACTGTTACGTCGCACCATTCTACTTAGTAGTAGAAACCCTGTACACCCTAAACACAGTGTCATATTTTGACTGTTACGTCGCACCATTCTACTTAGTAGTAGAATAGCCAGCCTTTTCAGCCTTTTGGGGAAATCTTGGGTCTAATCCTTCTAGAATCCCAAAGGGAGTAACCTTGAGTTCCCCTAGGATACTGGACAACTATCAGTTCTACTATAGGGGCCGGAATAGTTGCCGGAATGATTGCAATAGTCTTCCCTCATGGTACCTGTATGGTTGTACTACAAATCACCCCCAAAACCGTATTCCAATTAACTGGCCCCGAAACCTAAACCCTCAGCCCTAAACCCTAAACCCTAAACCCTGAACCCTATTCGACTTGTTAAATGCCCCCCTGAGTTCTACCCCAGCAACCCACCGATGCCGAGGGCCGTGACCTCGGGCAAGGCAGACCTCGATGCGGAGGTGGCCCGCATCAAGGAAGAGGCCGACCCACAGTGGCTTCTAGGGTTTCGGGTTTAGGGTTCAGGGTGTAGGCTTCAGCGTTTAGGGTTTAGGGTTTAGGGTTCAGGGTGTAGGCTTCAGCGTTTAGGGTTTAGGGTTTAGGGTTTAGGGTTTAGGGGCCGTTTCGGCGCTGGAAAGGCTTGGGGTTTAGGGTTTAGGGGTTAGGGGTTAGGGGTTTATGGTTTAGGGTGCGAGCCAGCACATGCGTGCAGTAGTAAATAGTACCTGAAGAGATGTACGGGGTGAGGTGCCAGGTGCTCGTGGACTTTTGAGAGAAGCCTATGAATCCTAAACCTTATACAAACCTTGCCAGCCCCCCTAAACCCTAAGCCCTAAACCCTAAACTTGTTAAACCCTCCAGAAAATCCTACCAACCTTCATAAAACCTCAGGCATGAGGTTGTGAAGTGCCAGGCCCAAAACCACGCGGCCAGCAAGGAGGTCATCGTGAAAAGTCGTGCTGCCGGGCCCTCGAGTAAAACGCACACGGCGGGCCCAACACCTCACCCGACATCTTAAACCTACTAATTTGCTTAATAAGAAGCATATAGTAAAAATCCCTGTATTGCCCTTGTAAGGAATGCTCTTTTTTTACTCTTTTTTTGCCGGGGGGGAGGGGGGGGGGGGGGGTTCTTAGAAACCCTAAATCCTGCTCAGGTTTGTGAAAGGTTCAGCGTTTAGGGCTTACCAAGGGCTTTAGTTCCATAGGGCCCTGCTGGTTTCAGGGTTTTGGGCGACATGTAAAGGCCCAACATATCCCGAAAGACAATAACCCTCATCACCGGAACCCCTCCCCCCCCAATCCGAATACTTATCAACCCCTAACCCCTAAACCCTAAACCCTAAACCCTAAACCGTTTGGGGGCATTCTCGGAAGCCCCCCAAAATTGTCAGGTGCTGAAGACGCACTGCCAGCTGTCTGGCACTGAGAAGAGCGCCAGCCCGGCCATCTTGCCGGCTTCCAGTACTGGAAAGTTACCCTAAAAAAGCCCTTAGCAGCTGAGTGAGCACACTTGACACTTTTTGGGATACTATAAATCCCCTATAGAACTGATACTATAATCCCCCTATAGAACCGAAAGTGTAAACTTTTTTGGGGGCTTATGAACTCAGCAACTAAGAACCCTAAACTGAGCCCTACATGCGGTTGTACCCAACCAGAGAAGCCCCCGGAGTCCCCTATAACCGCATTGAAAGATTGGGTGTATATGAACCCTAAACCCTAAACCCTAAACCCTAAACCCACGACTAGAGGTGCTTCTGAATGCTCCTCGCTCACTGGGGTCTAGCACATGCCATGCACGCAGTTGTGTCATGCTATGGTGTGTGTAGAGCGAAAAATAGGCTGCAGAAGATGACGTTGTTCACGGCTGTCGCCAGTCCGGCAACTGCGGCGAAGCCGACGCCGCGCTGAATCTCGCTAATCTGGGGCTGGAAAAACTCGACAAGGCCTGAACAGAATAATGCTAAACCCTAAACAGGGGTAGGTCTGAGCATGCTTCTTTTCATCTTGATGACCCTTCGTCCCTATGTAATCCTTTTAAAGCCAGAACAATCTAATTGTTCTCGGGCCCCCCTAAGCCTACCCCAGCAAACCCTAAGCCCCCGCATCTTGCTTCCAGAGTTGGCGAGTCGCTTTTCGGCAGAGGGAGCTCTGCCTCAGCCGTGCTGCGACCATGTGCTTCCTCATAAGGGCAACATCTTGGGATGTTCCCCCTTATACTGACAGTCCGAGGCATTATCGTACCCCCTTATCAGAATCCCTGTTAAGGATTGCTAGTAGAAGGCGGAGCATCCCAAGCAATAGAAGGATGATTATCTTTCATTTGGGGCGGGGGGGGGGTTCTCTTAAGCAAATAGTAGGCTGGCCCAGCTTCGCGAAGGCTTCCGTGTGTCCGCCCTCCCGGAGCGCCCTCCCGAAGCCAAAAAAAACCCTAGACCCCACCCAAAGGCTCCTATGTAGCACCTTTTTTTTTTTGGGGGGGGGGGGGGGGGGGCAGTGTACTAGAATCCCCTACAACAAACCCCCCCCAAAAAACGAACTACACTGGAGCCTTCCGAAGCCCAAAGCCCCAGAGTTTTCGCAGCTGTGACTGCTGCGCAGTTCCTTGCCACCTACATCTTGGACTTTACCAAAGTCTCTGAGGAACAGAAGGCCGAGTCTGGCCTGTCCTGACCCGGTTTGTCTATTGGGTTTGTGGTGCTTATAGAGGTTACGGGGTTTAGTCCTAGCTTTACTTTAAAGGGTTATGGTGGGATTCATCGGGTTTCATAGCGGGTTCATGACGGGCTTAGAGGGCTCAGTCCTCCTTGCCCAGGCCGATGCACCCCCAAGCAGTCAGCCCTAAACTTGGGTTGAGGGTTTAGGGTTTACCCCTTATACTAACAGTCCTGAATAGGGAATATAGTAGTAGGGGGGGGGGGGGGTATTACAATCCCCATGAACAACACAAACCCTTCTGCCGTCGTCCTCTTGCGCCTTTGGCAGGCCGATGCCGAGCAGACCCTGAAGTTGCAGGGGGAGAGCCTCTTCCAAGCCAACGCAGACTTGAACAGGTCAGGTCGGTAGCCGGGATCATCCCTTAGGGCCGTGGGGTTGCATCTCAACCCTATAGTTTAGGGTTTAGGGTTTAGGGTTTAGGGTTTAGGGTTTAGGGTTTAGGGTTTAGGGTCCTCTTTATCGAGTGTAAACCCCCATAAACCCCATAAACCCTAGGAAGCCTCTAAGCCCAACAAGCCCTGTACCCTGGACCCCAGAAACCCTACAAGACCCTGGACCCTTTCCAGCCACCGAGCCCTGCCAATCCCATAGAAGCCTGTTTAGTTAACCCGATAAACCCTCCTAAACACACACCCCAAGCCCTGAACCCTGAACCCTAAACCCTAAACCCTAAACCCTGTGGAGGGACTGCAGAAGGCCATGGCCTCATGTCGATACCAGAGATCGCAGCCTTAGGGTTTAGGGTTTAGGGTTTAGGGTTTAGGGTTTAGGGTTTAGGATTAAGGGTTTAGGGTTTAGGGTTTAGGGTTTATGGTTTAGGGTTTAGGGTTTAGATCAGGCGCAAGGACGAGCTGGCCGAGCTGGCTTCGGCGCTGCTCTTGGCATGCGGCATTTAGGTATTTTAGGGTTTTAGGGTTTTTTTTGGTTTTAGGTTTTTTTTAGGGTTTAGGGTTTTAGGGTTTAGGTATTTTGGGGTTTTAGGGCGTTTTTGGTTTTAGGTGTTTTATGTGTTTTAGGGTTTTTAGGTTTTTAGGGTTTTAGGTTTTTTTAGGGTTTAGGGTTTGAGGGTTTGAAGTTTTGAGGGTTTTAGGCTTTTAGGGTTTTTTGGGGCTTGGGGTTTAATTAGTGCTTTAGGGTTGTAGGGGTTCTCTTATGTAGAACCTTTTTGGGGTTAGTATACTAAAATTCCCGATAACTAACCTAGCTAACCCCAAAAGGAAATACATTGGAGCCTTTGGGTAGGGTTTTGGGGTTAAGGGTTTTGGGGTTTCAGGGTGTAATAATGCTTCGGGCTGTCAGGGGTCCAGCCGAAGCTGACGCGGTGCAATGCGGGGGGCCGGGAAAGCAGGCACTGTGGCACTGCACCCCAAACCCCATAAACCCTAAACCCTGAAGCCTAACCCCTAAACCCTTCCTCTTGCCCAGGACGTGGTTACAGCCCAGGAGAACATGAGACTCGCGGGCAAGGCCCACCACATTTCGCGAACCTCTGGAAGTCCTGAAACAGCCTTCAAGTCAACAGCCCAATCATCCCTCCCTAAACCCTATGATCCCAAACCCTGTAATCCCTAACTCCCTAAACCCTGCACTCCCTAAACCCTAAACCCTATAAACCAAGGTAATCCCTATCATCCTAAACCCTAAACTCCCTAAACCCCATAACCTCTGCAATCCCTACAATCCGCAAACATTGCAATCCCTGAAATCTACAACTCCTGTAATCCCTATAATCCCTAAACCTTGCAATCCCTAACCCTAAACCCTACAATCCTAAACCGTAAAATCCCTTAAATCCGTACAGTCCCTCAACTCCCTTAAGCTCTAAACCCACAAAATCCCTGTAATCCCTAAACCCTTCAACCCTAAACCCCCAATTCTAAACCCCCAAACCCTAAACCCTTTGTGAGCCCCTGAGAATCCCTTTATAACCCCAAGCAAGCCCTAACCCCAAACCGAAACCCTAAACCCTAAACCCTAACCCTAAACCCTAAACCCTATAATCCCTTCATCATCCACGAAGTTCTATGCAGGCCGATGACGCGCTCTCCACGACTTGCGGGCCCAAGGCCACTTCGATGGAGGCGCTTGAGGGTCAGACGGTAAGGGGTTTAGGGTTTAGGGTTTAGGGTTTAGGATATAGGGTTTAGGGTTCAGGGTTTAGGGTTTAGGGATTAGGGTGAGACTTGTGGTTTAGGGCTATTTGTGTATAGGCAGGGTTAGTTTAGGGTTATCATGTTATAGGGTTTCGGGTTTAGGGATAAAGTTTTTCGGGTTGGTTTCGGGTTTAGGATTTAGGGTTTAGGGTTTAGGGAAGTCGGAAAACACGCATTAAGAGGAGCTTTGGCCAAGGTTTCGTTGCAGGGTTTAGGGTTTAGGGTTTATAGGGTTTAGGGTTTATAGGGTTTAGGGTTTAGGGCAAGACATGGCCCAAATTGTGGAGGACGCCATTGCCCGGCGGAAGGAGGAGATCGAGCAGCTGAAGAACGCCCCTTTGCTTACGCACACAACGCTTTCTACGGGTTCAGGGTGTATTTTGTGTTTAGGGTATAGGGTTCAGGGTTAGGGTTTAGGGTTTAGGGTGTAGGGTGTAGGGTTTAGGGTTTAGGTTTAGGGTTTAGGGTTTAGGGTTTAGGAGTACAGGGTTCAGGACTTTAGAATGAAAGCCTTATTGACATGTTGCACACACAAAGACGAACCATGTCTTCAAAACGATGCCTGGACTAGTGTTGCTCCTTCTTGCGCGGCTTACATACAACGATTTCTCTCGAAGGTTCTTGTTAGCGCTGTCTATGCAACGCTGACCTTAAACCCCAAACCCTAAACCCCAAACTGGGCCCCAAACCCTAAACCCTAAACCTTAAACCCTGGTGCATGGTATGGGTTTAGGGTTCAGGGCCCTGGAGTTACAGAGTTTATAGTATAGGGTGCAGAATATAGGGTTTATTGTATAGGGTTTACAATATAGGATTTAGAATGCAGGGTTTAAAAACGTAGGTTTATAGTATATGGCTTAAAAAATAGGCTTTAGTATGTGGTCCTGGAAGTCTGTGCTGGTGACGAGGCCGTGAAGGTGTTGGATGGCGAGGCCGATGGACACCAAGATTAGGGTTGATTTGGAGGACCTTTGGTTAGGGTTTAGGGTTTAGGGTTTAGGGTTTAGGGTTTAGGGTTTAGGGTTTAGGGTTTAGGGTTTAGGGTTTAGGGTTTAGGGTTTAGGGTTTAGGGTTTAGGGTTTAGGGTTTAGGGTTTAGGGTTCCCACATTCGATACCTCAGGAGAATTGTTGCCCCAAACCCTAGCAATGCTCAGTAGCTGCATTGAGTAAGAAGTCGAGATCCTGTCGCTGTCCTGCGCGAGGCCTTCGTGTGAGCAGCTCCTTTCCCTGTCTTTTCACCCCAGCCCGACTCGATGCCGTTTGGAGCTGCGGCCTTTCAGTGCGAACGGGTGCAAAGTGGGGCATGCCCGATGCCTGCGGGTTTAGGGTTTAGGGTTTGGGATTTAGGGTTTAGGGTAGTTCAGATTCTTGAGGTTTGAGTGTGATTGAGTTGAAGGCAGATGCTGATGTCTGAGAATCAAGGGACCGGAAGGGCAACCGTGACTTCAATCGCTGCTGACTCCTCACTGGCACACTTGCGAGCGGCCGCTGAAACGTAAAACTGGGGGGGCAGCCCAAACCAAGGGTAGTCTCATCCGCGTTCCTTCCGCAGATGACACGTGCATGCATGGAGAGTATGGATTGAAGTGTAAGTCTTCTTTATTCACACACACACACACGCACTTTGAACTTTACATCAAGCTTGATCGGTACCTAGAAATAAAAACCCATGCAGACGCCATGACTGGGCCGATGCGGCGCCGCCTCGCTTGCCCACCTCCTTTTAGGGTTTAGGGTTTAGGGTTTAGGGTTTAGGGTAGAACTCTCTCACACACAGGGCACAGACGGAGACGGAGACAGAGAGACACACGCACATAGACACGTTGACTTTGCAAAGCCTGCGTGAAAGGACACGTCATATGACCAGAGGGTCTTGGTACGTGTGATGCCCAGACACCCTAAACCCTGAACCCTAAACCCTAAACCCTAAACCCTAAGCCCTAAACCCTAAACCCTAAACCCTAAACCCTAAACCCTAAACCCTAAACCCTAAACCCTAAACCCTAAACCCTAAACCCTAAACCCTACACACATCCCGACACCATGAACGAGAAGCAATGAAAGTGTACCTGGAAGGGTGGCAGTGCTTAGGTTTGTGAAACATGGCTCCTCCTGCACGAATGGTTCCTTGTGATCCCTTAGTTGTAGGTTAGGGTTTATAGGGTTTATAGGGTTTATCGGGTTCATAGGGATTATAGGGTTTATAGGGTTTATAGGGTTTACAGGGTTTATAGGGTGTACAGGGTTTATAGGGTTTATAGGGTTTAGGGTTTAAGGTGCAATGCAACATGCACACACACACACAGCACGCAATGCCGCGAAGAGGCATGAACAGGAGACAGCCGGACTCGACCCTCACAGCAGACAAGCTCTCTTCTTTGTCATAGTTGGGTACCATACTACATGTTTTTGAGTACTGAAACCCAATAAGGAATATAAGTATAATTTTTAAACCCTAAACCCTAAACCCTAAACCCTAAACCCTAAACTCTAAGCATAATTTTTAAATATGATCCCAACCATGAACTAGCCTTGCGCCAGGAGCGGCGCTTCGAAGACGTTGTTCAGCGTGTCGCACCCGGAGCGCATGGAGCAACCCTAAACCCTAGGCCCTAAACCCTAAACCCTAAACCCCAAACCCTAAACCCTAAACCCTAAACCCTAAACCTGCGGTCTTCACTTCTGAAGCAATGCCGGAACCGCAGAAATTTGCTTCTTGTCGGGGTTCCCATACGGAGGACTTCCCTTGTTTTGGGTGATAACAAACTGCCCTAAACCCTAGGCTAGGGCCTTTTGGGGGTCCTCTATCCTTTAGGGTTCAGGGCTTAGGGTTTGGGAACCCTAAACCCTCGGCAGGCCCTACTTTGCTGGCAGTGTTTGGGGGGGAATGCCCTAGACCCTAAACCCTAAACCCTAAGCCCACATGGCCAGCCACATCAGGCCCTGCAAAAGCGAGCTGATTATGCTGCGGGAGCCTCGGAGGGTTGGGGGTTTCGGGTTTAGGGTTTAGGGTCTGAACAACTCTGCTTCGTCAGAAAGCTCTGCAGGAACAAGAGTAGTACTACTAGTTGTAAGTACCAATTTAAAAGCTAGCAGTTAGCAAGTATAGCATAGGAAAGTACTCACTAGCGAGTGAAAATTGATAAGCATATTCAAAAGTTAAAGATGAGAGCTCAGTAGCAAGCATAGCACAGATGATGATAGGTATCAATTGGTTACATGAGGAAAAAGAAATGAAACTTGTACTAAGTATAGCAATAGTTAGAATAGCAACAAATATCAGAATAGCAAGCAACCCGGAGCCCTAAACCCTAAACCCTAAACCCTAAACCCTAAACCCTAAACCCTAAACCCTAAACCCTAAACCCTAAACCCTATTGAGACCTGGTACAAGAGGCTGTCAAGCCGCTGATCACACGCGAGACTGTGTTGGCCTCAGCGGTCTAAACCCCATGGAAACCCTCAACTCGAATTCGGCTCCGAAGCCTGTGGGTTTTAGGGGTTTAGGGTTTAGGGTTTAGGGTTTAGGGTTTAGGTGCGATTTCGGCCTTCTGTGGCAAGGCAGGAGCGTGCGACGTCTTCTACAACCTGAAGAGCGGCCCTTAGCAGCAGAGGGAGAGCCCGTGAGCAGCGTTTAGGGATGGGGATGCTCTCTTGGGTGGTTGTGTTCTAAACCATGGTCCCTTAGGGTTTAGGGCTTAGGCTTTAGTACTCCGTATAGTTTCATGTCTCAACAAGGTCCCATAAGTTCTGAGAACGAGCCCCCCGCATCATGCCACGTCGTGCCACGCAGTCAGAAGCAAAGCGTCCCGTGCGCCTTTTTAACCCTCGTGCAAGTTGCGGGGCTGATGTAGAGCAGGTGTTCGGGTTGTTCGGGTTTGAGGGGGTCCTTTTTGTACAAGCGGTGCTTGCATCATCGATTTTAGACCGTAAACAACCCTTACGCCCTAGAGTCCTAAACCCGAAACCCTAAACTTTAAACCCTGAACCCTAAACCGAAGCGCTCATGTAGAATCATCGCCAAGGCCGCTCTTTTGGGCTTTGAGCTATGGTGCCGAAGTGGAGGCAAGGCACCAGCTCGTCCTTCCCCAATATGCAAACGGAATGATGCAGGCATGCCCTTTTCTTGTGTGGTGCTTTACTGTAACTTTAGATCCTAAGCCTTTTTGGGTTTATTGGGTTTCTTAATAAGGCAGCTAAAGTTTAATTTTTTTACTACCCTCCAAAGTGCAGCCAAGTTTTCAATTGCAAACGCATGAGCAAGCGTGTAGAACTGTGAACAAAAACAGCGCAGGGGCTGGCAGAGGAGCAGACCAGTGACCAGAGCACCATGAGACCGGGACCACCCTACACCCTCCCTACGGGTTCACTTCCAAGGCAGTTCTTGGGAAGGTAGATGTTAATAAACGCGAGGGTTTTGGTCAAGAAGCCGTTTTATGTTAGTTGGGAGGACATAGGTTTTGTTGTGTTGTCTTGTCTGCACACTGTGTAACTGTTGAGGAGTAGTCAGAGCGAATAAAAGTAAGTCACTTGTAATGGAAATCTAGTGAACAAACGCACTGCTCACACAGACGTTCTCATCGCACGGACATGGATGCTCTGGGCATTCGCACGCACTGGCAACATTTCCAACTGTTTGAGTTCAAGAAATGCCCGCAGCACGTACAGGACATGTACGCATGTATCGAAAGTGCACTGGTGCGCCGAGGCAGCCGCTGAGCAACAAAAAACGTCAGCGCAGATACGTAATCCACCCCACCCCCCCCCCCCCCACCCCACACCCACCCCACCCCACCCCACCCCACCCCACCCCCCCCACCCCCACCCCACCCACTCCCCCCCCCCACCCCACCCCCCCCCCCCCCCCCCAAAAAAAAAAAAAAAATCAAACGCAAAACGACAGGAACGTATATCCAGGGAAAGTCGTAATCAGTCTGGGGGCAAAAGAGGGGTGGAGAGCCTAGTCTAGGGTAAAAGGGTTTACAAAACCCAGAGGCTTCAGTTGAAGAGCTTTGGATTGGACGTGATTACCCCCCCCCCCCCCCCCCCCCCCCCCACCCCCCGCAACCCCAAAACGTTTTGCGAGCAAAGATTGCACAGGACAGCCGACAGCACGTCAAACCGTACGCATGCAGAAATGTGGCACCTGCCGCATCTTTGTGAGAGGCGACAGAAACCGTGAAAACGTGCTTGCGTTTTGCCCCTTTTGCAAAACGCAAGCACGGAAGAATTTACCGCAGATACACCTCTTGGGTCCGTGGGTTCCCGCATGAGAAAAAAAAACAATGTAAAAACCGATGCTTTTGAAGCATCTTGGAGCACAAGCGGGGGCCCCAGCTGACAGTATGAGCCTGTAACCCGTGGAATCCCCACGTTGCAACTGAACCCGTCAGCTAAACCCTAAACCCCAAACCCTAAACCCTAAACCTTCTGGAGTTGGGCAGGTGCTCAAGGCACTCCTGGATGCCCACCCCGAGGCGGTAAAGGAGAGACATCCAACCGAGGCAGCGGTGCCGCCCGAATGCGAAAACAGGTTTTCTACTGTTGGGTTTAGGGTTTAGGGTTTAGGGGTTTAGGGTTTAGGGACTATTGGCTTAAGAACCACCACTCCCGCCCAAACAAGAACAAATCGTATTCTTCCTGATAAGGGTAATGGAGGGATTAGCATGTTCTGGAGGCTCCTAAGCAAGTCAAGGAATATGAAGAGATTTTCACAACGTAAGTTTTTACGAGTAGGTTATGCAGTATCCTACCTGGCACATTGTCGTACCTCATTGCAAACTTCAGTTTTGCGTAGTACAGCCCTAAACCCTAAACCCTAAACCCTAAACCCAGTAGAGTAGGTGAATTTGTTCAGCAGCTTGAAGCGGCGCGTTGTAAGCCTGGTCTGGAGGGCTGGACCCCGCTGCACTATGTCGAGAAGCTGAGCCTCGAGTCTGTCCGACTGCTTCT